GCAGGAGGAGGTCAGTGGGAGTTTGGGGCTGGGGTTGGGGGGGGTGGTCTCACCCAGTGGTGAGTCCCTGTGCTAGGTGTGAGGCTGGGCCCTGTGATGGCGGCTGAGGGGAGACCAGGATGGGGGGACATCGGTGATGTAGTCCACGTTTCTGGTCGAGCGAGCCGGAGTTGGGGTAGGAATTGGGTCTGGGGGGCAGCACGTGCAGGTGTCTGCAGGGAGCGGAGGTGGGTGACTGACCCGAGGAGGCGGGAGCTGGGCGAATGTGGTGGACACCCCCACGGGCAGCAAGGTGCCCACCCAAAGGGGCACAGACGGGGGAGAAAAGAGACCGGCCTCCAGCAGTGGAGGTGGGGGGTGGGGGTCAGCTGCGGCCACTGGTGCCCAGGCAAGGTGCACCGATGTTAGGGCCGAGGACAGCGGCCCCCCGTTGTGGGAAACCCAGATTCTCAACAAACCCTGTGGAGCCCTGGGCTGCGGGCCCCCCTGCTCCGGGACAGAGGGCACTCTGAGAGGACGCACTTCTAAGTGGATTTTAAACTCCTAAGCCGACCAGAGAGCCCTGCTCTCTTTCAGTGGCCAAGCAGGGTCCACAAGGTCTCTCCCTGACCTTCCACGATGGACTGGGGCACAAGCTGCATAGGAGGCTTCTGGCCTGGCCGGGACACCACCCACCCCACAAACGCCCTGTGCTGCGGTCCACACACGGTCGGGGTGGCTGGGGACGGCAGGAGGCCTGACCTTTTGGGACATCGCACATGCAGGGCAGAGACAAGCTGAGGGACCGCTTGGACGCACGACCTGAGAAGCCACGGTCCAGCTGAGACATGGAGGCAAAGGAGGCCACCGGGCCGTGTGCAAAAAGAGGGGCCGAAGCGCGGGGCCCGAGCACGGCCAGGCTGCGGTGACAGCGTTGTGATCAGCCCAGGAGCCCCGCGAGAGCAGCTCTAGCGGGAAGAGCTGGGGCTGAATTCGGGGGGGCACAGGACAGGAGCGGCGGCTGCAGGCTGAGCCCCAGTTCTGGGAAGGCGGCGTCACATCTGAGACTCGGGGACGGCCCGAGGAGAGGGAGCGGTCAGGTGCACGAGTTCCACGTGGCACTTTGTGGGGAAGGGGCCTCGGCGCCCAGTGGCCTCCTGGGCCCGAGCAGCCCAATCTCAGGGACCCCTCCTCGCACCGCGGACGTGCCACCGCTTTGGTTTAAGCCCGTTGGTGTTGGGTTTCTCTGGCTTTCAACCAAAAGGGGTCTCAGAGCCGCTTCTCATCCGGGGATGATGAATGGCAGGAGGTGATGGAGAATGTCAAGCCTGTGGCTAAACCGAACTTGGTCATCCACGCGCCTACCGGCCACGTTGGGTGACGTGGTGTTAGCGGGCAGGCGGGGAGGCCAGCACCGCGGCGCTCTCTGGGCCCGGGGCTCCTCACCACGGGGCTGTGACCACAGAGCCCCAGCCCTGACAGGCCCTGGGAGTCCCGTGAGGATCCGCGGGCAGCTGCTTGGTGCCGGGTCGGTGCGTCGGGCGCCGTGGTCGTTGGGACCCTGAGCCCAGGGAGGCGACGTGCTCCGGGCCCCATGCCCACGTCCCCTGGCCACCCCCACCCAGGGAAACTGGTACATTTCAGGTCGGGTCTGACGCCGCTGCTGTCGGAGGCGGGCGCTGGGGACCCACTCCTGCACGGTCACCTTGGCAGGGGTATTAGGACACAGAGCCGGGGACTTCGTTGGCCGGAGGCGTCGATAACAGACAACTGGTTCCTCTCAGGCCCACTGGAAACCGTCGCTGCGCTCAGAAACAGAAATCATGCCGTCAGCAACGCGGTTCACAGTCGTTGCCTAGGACATAAATAGTGTGGGGACAGCAAAAGCTAATGGAGAGAAGGACTTTAGTTAAAGAATGTCCTTGCAGAAGGAAAGACTTTACTTTTTATAATGCGCCATAATGATGACATTAAGACCCCTCTGAGAGAAATAATTCCCTACCTGTAATTTGGAAATACTTCTGGGGCCCGTAGGCATCTCTCCCTGCAGAAGTTGGGCTCCAGGGAAGGGAACTTAATGCCTACGGCCCCTGGGCCCCATCCAGGGCACGGATGAGAGACGCCCTCCACCCACTGAGCTCCCCCCATTGGCGGGAGCGTCCAGCCCGCCTTGTCCACCTCCAGCTGTCCCCACGGCCCCATCCAGCCCCCTCCCTGCGGTTCGACCAGCTCCTGCTGGTGGCTTCTCCCTGTGTGAGAGCCGGCAGGGACCTCAGGACAGAGGTCAGTCAGGAGAGCTGGGAGCCCAGCCCCCACAGGATAGCGGGTCCCGACGCACACGTGTCTGGGTCAGTGCCGGTGGCCCTCACCAACCTCACGACCCCGTCTCAGCAGCCAGCTTTCTGTGCAAGGGACAGAAGGAGGGGACCGCCAGGAGACGCCCCGTCCCACCTCGGGACACCGGGAGGGGAGGAGTAGGGAAAGCCAGGATGGACAGGGTCCACGGTGGGGGTACCTCCTGCAGGGCCCAGCCCAGCCTGGAGGATTTGGGGGTCTCCTGGGGGGCTCTCGCCCCTTGTGGGGGCTGGTGGCTGCCAGCGGCCCCCATGTTCCACACTCTTCCTGGACCTGGTCCGACATCACCTTAGCATGCAGCCATGACGTAGAAATGTCCTTCTCCGGGTCCTGACCTGGCGCCCAGGGCCTCAGGCAACGGGCTGTGTGGTAGGAGACCCTCCTAGCCCCAGGGCACCAGCCTGCAGGGCTCTCAGGGTGGACCCCAGGTGAGGGGGCGTCAAGAGGCCAGGGGCCCCAAAATACACCCGCACGGAGCCTGCGCGGTGTAGAGCAGGCTGTGCCCCCTCCCGTCCCCCCAGCCACACGGCCAGTGCCCCGGCCGGCCGAGCTACAGAAGCTTTGCGTCAGGGGCCGTGTGACAGGTTCTTTCCCATCTTGGCTTTGTGCTGTTTGAGGGATGTTCTGTCCTTCACCTTCCAGGAGAAGCCCTGGGATGCGAGCCCCACTGTCCTGAGGACTGCAGGCGAGTGGAACAAGGTTGTGCCCGGTTCTCGGACGTCTGCCTTGGGCCCCCCCCGCCCGGCTACAGCCCCGTCCTCTTCCTGGACGGCCCCCGTGAGGTATGGGCAGGGAGACACCCCCCCTCCCCAGGGCTCTGTCCACACGGTGCCCGGCACCGAGGCCCATGTGCCGGTTGCCCCTCTGAACCCTCCCCCACTGCTCCTTCCAGAAGGCAGGTGGCAGGCCCAGAGGGGGCCTGGGCCCCGGCAGGACGCCCACCACGCAGGACCCGCCAGGAGGCAGCAGGTAGGAGACACTGACCGCCTCAGGGCATTCGGGGGGTTTGGTCCGGCCTCGCCATCAGCGGGACCACAGGTGGGCCCCCCCAGGTGTGCGCTCCGTGCCGGGGCCGGGGCCTCGGTTTCCCACAGGCGGGCGAGCCTGTGACCCCACAGGCACGGTCTCCGTCTGCCCAGGGACTGCACGCACTTCTGCGGCCTAGACGGCAGGAGAGGCCAGGCTCCCAGCCTCAGGGGAGCCGGGCCCTGGTCCAGGTTGGCGGAGCCGGGTGGCCCACGGAAGGGACGATGCTCCTCGATCGTGTTCGGAGGCCAGGAGGGGCCCACAGGGTGGGCAGAGGCGGCCAGAGGCCCGCCACATACCTGCTGCGGGCCCGTGATCCGTCCTGCAGCAGACACACAGGTCGGGGCTGCGAGCCCCACGGTGGGGGCCGAGGAGACTCCACCCTGCCAGTACCTCGGCCACACGCTCTTCCCAGCCCGGGGCCCTTCCAGGAGGAAGGCTGAGTTCCAGAGAAATCACTCCTGGCAACTGCTTGTGGGAGCAGCCTGTCCCCTGCCAGGCCGTGTGGCCCAAGGCTCAGGTGGGACTGAGCTCACCTCCCTGCCCCCCGGCACCCCCGGCGCCCCCGGCCTGTCCCCAACCCGGTTTGCAGTTCCGTGGGGACTCTGGGGGATGCAGAGCAGAGCTGGGGCCTAAAGCAGCACATCGGGAAGCTGTGGCTGGGACCCTGGGAGCCGGCCCGCTCTTAGAAGGCAGGAACCCTCCATCTGCAGGCGGGGCGGGGAGAACGTGGCCCCTGGGGGAGGGGCGCCAGGCCTTCGAAGACGCCCACCTGCTGGCAAGGGCAGGCCTCTGACCCTTGTGTGTAGCCTTGTCATCAGCCCGGGGGAGGGGGGGCAGTGGCCAAGGCCAGCGTGCCCGGGGCGCCTCTTGTGGCCTGGGACACGCACATCTGTCTTCACGCGGTCTGCTCCGGGGCACCCGTCGAAATAGCCTCACAAAAGAGCAGAGGCCTGTGGGCACAGACCCAACGGCAAAACCCTAGGAAAATCAGGCATTGAGTAGAAACGGGAGGAGGGCCCGAGGCATCCGTCCTGAGCCGCCGCAGCCTGCGGACGTTCCGCAGTTAGATTGCTCATCGGTGACGCCAGCGGGCGTGGGACGGGCCGGGACACCCGGAGGCTGGCACAGTATCGGCAGGCTGACAAGCCTTTGATCCCACTGGCGAGGCGGAGCCGGGACGAGCTGTTTCCAGGGGAAGGTGCCACCCTGTGTCGTTCTGAGTCACGGTTTGTGAATCAAATATGAGGCCCGCTTCACACAGTAAGTGGAGAAGCACAGACTTTAAGAAAAAAAAAAAAGCCAAGATCCCGCTGAACGTTGACACGCCACACTCAGCCCGCGCTTCGGTCGCGGGCACGCACGTGTGACCCAAAGCTGCAACGCGCGCGGAATAACTCGCGTCGACACGCACAGACCCATCCGTGCCTGGGGCAGAGTTACTGCTTCCTTTCATAACGGGGAGGGGGGCAGCTGGAGGCTGTGGGACGAGGAACTGTCTTCCTCCGACACAGACAAGGCCCTCGGTGTCTGGTTTCTCCTGAGGGCAGGAGGCAGCGCCCGCCCGCTCATTCTGTCGGTTCTGGTGCTTGAAATTCAGTGTCCTCGTCCCGGGGTCCTCGCCATCCCAGGAGGGCTCTGCTTGTGAGCCGGTGCCCGTGGCCGGGGCTCCAAGGTCTTCCGAGTAGAGGACCCCAGCAGGGATGGCTTTCAGTGGGAACTCGGGGGCTCGGGCCGCCCCACCCCAGGGCCCGTTTGCAGGCACAGGTCTGAGCAGTGACGCGCAAAGCCCTTTGTGGCCACCGAGCGCCCCCCAGAGCCCACATCCCCTGCCCCGTCACAGGGTCCGTGTGGCGCGTCACCTGCCTCAGACCCCACTGCCCAAACAACCACTTTCTCCAGGGCCCCTGCTGTGTGCCCCCGAGGCCCCCTACCCGATCTGGGTGTCTTGTGGCCCCCCCCCCGAGGCCCCCAGCATCTGCCCCAGCACCCCCTACCAGTTC